CGGGAGCACCCTGGGAGCTTGTGCCCTCTGTCTCTTCCTGTGTGTGTTCCATAATTTTGCTGTCTGCCCAATAAATGAGCACACCCTGTTTTTTTTTTTTTTGGTTTTTCTCTGGTACCAGGAACTGAACTCACGACCTTGCGCTTGCCAGGCAGGCGCTTTGCCGCTGAGCTAAATCCCCAGCCCCCAAAAGGTAGTCATTTTTATCAGAGGACTTGACCATGGACCTTAGTTGGACACCAGATGTACTAACACCAAAGAAGTAGCTTTCATGAAAATTAACTTGTGCAATGACCACCATCAAGACAGTAGAGAGAAACCACAGAATGAGATAAAATATCCCTTAATCAAATATTTAATAAGATATCCATTACAGTAGGTAATTCTTGTAACTCAGAAGCACCAGTACTCAAAAGTTTAGACACGCCAAGGATCTCATAGGATTTTCTTTAAAGACACACACAAATGTCTAGCTGACCATCACGGGTCTTCAGAGGCCTGAGCAAAAAGCTCAGGGCTAAGCACACATGAGGGTCCTGAGTTCAATCCCTACTACAGCACACACCAAAAATTATGAGTCATCAAGGAAATAGAAAGTGCACCCAACAAGGAGATAGTGGATAGGAATGTTATTACACAAAAATAGTGACAAGCACTCAGACAGTATGGACAAATCCAAATCTCCATTCACTGCTGGTGCCAGTACAATGAAATAGTTCAGCCACTTTTGGAGAACAAGCTTGGTAAGTTGCTAGTAAGTCAAACCTGGAGTTACCCATAGCAATTCTGCTTCAGTTAGGTACTCAGAAAGAAAACATGCCTACAAATCCTCAGGCTGGTAGCTGCAAAGACCACATTATGATTCCTTTATGGCAAGTCTCTAAAACAGGCCAATTTATAGACAAAGTTCATAAATGGCTGACCAGTATTTCTGAGGTGAAGAAATGTTGAGAATTTGAGTTAATAGCTATAAGCTATGAATATAGCAAAGCTAATGAATTATACACTTTAAATAGGTGAATTGGGAAAAGGGAGACTCAAAATTACTGGAGGGGGAAGAGTCCAGAAGTTTGATTAGACAAAATTCCATTTCAAACTAGTCAAAAGGAAAAAAGAAAAAAAAAAATCAAAAACCAAAGCAACTTATGTAGTTAAAAACTTATCTTCCCAATACTTAAAGGAAATCCTTGTGTTAGAACAAGTATTATGATGTATTAAGCATGTCTATTATTATGTGTTTCCTACAACAACCACTGTGAAAAGTTAATGATTATTCAATAGGTCACTCATGTATAGCTCTATTTTCTTTAGATGCCACGTTGAAGATACCCAAGTATAGTACAACTATTGATAATCTCCTACCTCTTTTGTCTGCAACTCACTATTATTTGTCTATTTGTTTTCCTGAGAAACTATCTTGTAGATAACAATATGTAAAACAATAACCATTGATAATTTCCTACCACTCTGTAATTTGGTAAGCCCTCCCTATTATGTTATCCTTCTTTTACTCTTTAAAAAAAAAAAAATGTATTAAGCCACATACAAACAGCACATTAAGTAATTTTTAATTGCATTTTGCTACTGTAAAACTTTGGCTTTAGAATACAGTCACTATAGGGGCTGCCACTGTATTAGAGAATAATTGTTCCTGTAAAACTATGAGCCAACAGCTGCATCAACTATGATATTCCTGCCCAAATTTTTAAAAGAACATTTAAGAAGCCCACATACAGCAGTATAATCATATGTTCCTACCAAGAAAATATATTCTAAGGAATATGTTCCTATGTAAAGGTACCCTCAGGTGTCTATGATTTATTCTTAAAACCTGGTTTGGACCTTAGTAACATCAGTATGTACATTTTCTCCTTACTATACCGAACTCAAAGACAACTCAGAGGAGACTAAGGATGATAAAACTGTACATTCTTAGAGACAAAGCTAAAAAGGTATTAGGAGTTACTAGTATTGTTGTACAGGACTTCATTCCACTGTGTAACTGTTTATTACCACAGCCTTGACCTAGTGCAATAAACACGGACTCTTGTTTCCAAAGTTTTCAATTGGCAAGAAAAGTTCAACAACCTTTTAGTATCTCATTTTGTTATGAGTCAAAGAACCATGCCAGTATCTTTACTTATAAAGGCATACTTTCAGCATAGTTTTAGGCCCAAACTCAACCAAAAGCAACATAAAAGCAATATACTCTTCACGACTTGGTAATGACTTTCCAAAAATTCTTAACCATCCATATAAGTATGTCAAGTTCCTTATAGTACTTACTCTTCATCATCATCCTCATCCTCATCCTCCTCATCTTCATCTTCATCAGCAGCAAGTTTTACTTTTTTCTTAAAGAAAAATGCATAGTCATGAATAAGATGTAATCCTTATCAAACTGAAAGCTAGAACACATAATCTGCAGTAAAATCATCTCTTACCTGTGGAACCTTGCTACCACTTCCAGGGGCAGATCGCTTTCCAGATATACTTAAGAGTTTTACATCCTCTTCCTCCTCATCATCTGACTCTGCATCTTCCTCCACAGCTA